CCCCAAAACCCCAAAACCCCAAAACCCCAAAACCCCTGGGAAGGAATTTGTTGCTGAAGTTAAATGATTAATATAAATAAAGTTTTTGAAAATGGAGTTCAATTACAATAAAGGTAGGAGCTAAACTGGTATTTACCTCTTAATTTCTGTATCTCACCGGTTTATAGAGAAGTACGGCAAGAATATTGACGATACTCTTGGCAGGCCAAATGAACAAGAAATGGGGCAGGTGCAGAAAGAGGATAGCTTAGATATCTTTGCTGATAGCCCAAGTAAATCAAGTGAAAATAAGAATCCTTTGTTGGCTGGAGCTAATAATGAGGAAGATAATGATATTAAGGTATCTTCTGAAGACCTTATTAATGAGTCAAATTTCGAAGAGCAGGAGCAAATCAAGAAGGATTCTAATGCTACAAAAAATTCTTCTTCTAAAAATTTGATTGATAGAAATGTTCCAGCTCGAAATCCTGGACAAATGCAGATACAAGAAAACTATCCAGCAACGGGTCTGGTAATTGATGAAGAAGATCTTTCTAATAAAATCAAGTACTGTAAAAGAGGAATATCTATTGTATCTTACACCCAAATCGTCCTTGGAGGTCTCAATATTTCTCTTCACCTTCTGATACTATTTATAGAAATGATCGACGATCCATATTTAGGTTCTGATACTCCTTTGGGGAATGATAGTAGAAACATCAGAATCGGTTTTCACTGGAGAACTACAGCGAGATTCTTTTTGATCATCGCAAGTAGCATCTTTGTAATTTCAGGAGGTTTCCTCCTAAAGAAGTCAAAGGACATACTAAGCTTTACTGATAAGTACCAGCTGTGCCTTATTGGGATGTATGTTGTAATTGAAATTCTGGACCTAATTGCAACCATTTACTTCGTGATAGGAGGGCAGCTAGCAGTCTCTGCTTATGTCGAGTACTGTCTTAATTTGCATAGAGGAGTGTTGAAATCATACGAAAGAGATAGGCATGAATGCAAGCCGTATTTTATCAATAAAAATTATAAATACACATCTGAAGGAGAGAGGATCCCAGAAACAGAGGCTTGGACTTTGGAGATAATTCATGAATATTATACTTCATTCATCTATAGCCTCATTATAACTTCTATCTTATGTGGAGTAGCCATTTATTGTGTAAGAACTCTTCGTAAAGCAACAAAGATACACAATGAGAGAAACCAAGACTTGGAAGAAGGTAATATCAATGAAAGAGTAAGATAGTCTATGTCAAAATCATGAAGAGTTGAATGGTAGTTTTCAAAGTAAAATTTCTAAGCTTCAATAGAATTCGTAAACCTCGGGGTTTTGGGGTTTTGGGGTTTTGGGGTTTTGGGG